GAATCAATTTTTGGTCGACTGTTAGCAAACGCGGCACCCATCTTGCACAGAGCTTTTCCATATGCAAATGTTGGTGCAAAATATGTTGCACACGTTCATATGACATCTTACAGGTCTCAGCTATCTCACGCACTTTCAATCTGCGGTCTCCCAGCACTATTTGATGAATTTTTTCGATCATATCTGGAGTTGTGACCTCAACGGGGCGTCCTGAGCGAGGCCCATCAGAGGTGCTCACACGACCCTTTTTAAACTCGGAAACCCACTGCTTAACGGTTGAATATGACGGGGAGGATGTCCCCAGTGTTGAGTCCATCTCTTTTTTAATTTCCTTCGGCGTTAACCCCTTCAAATAAAAGTATTTGATGACAGCACGATTTTCCTGCTTTTCCATTTTTACGAAAACCACAGAGGCGTCTTGTTCAGCGTGCTGTCAAACCTACACTAGCAAGGAGATCGGGCTGAAACTATAGCTACAAGCTATCCAAGGATGGTACTATAGAATGTCACCTCAAGGTAGGCCTAGTGGCGTCATCTCTTGGTTAGGCCGGAAACTTATCAATCCACCCTCGTACATATATACTAACGACCAGAAATGTTCCACCTCGCAGAACCCAAATTTTAATTGATTATCTTCGTACCAAACAACACTGGAACGTGTACTCACTGTTTACAAAAAAAAACACACTATTATTATTCTTTTATATGTATAATATGTACAATAGAAAACCTATTCGACATTTCTAAAGCAGAAATGTAGTTCCGTCTTCCCCTTGCGAAGGGATTATTTCCCTCAGGGTCTCTCCATCTAAGATAGCGATTATTTTAAGTTGATATAAAGAGCATTTTCCATGTGACGCAAAAAGCAGATTAAACTGTCTGTAGTGCTGTATCAATTCTCCTTTGTTTGGGTTATATCTCTCTGATAGAAAATTATGTTTCGCTACTTTTAACTAAAACGCATAGACAGATGCATCTGAAAGGTCTTCACTAACATTCCAAGCATCTTCAAATATTCGTTTTCAACCCCGAGGATACAAGTAACATTATAAAATAATTATTGTGAAATTATCTAGAGAAAACTAAAGCGACCGGTTTGTGAAATACGTACCTACCAGATACTCTATTTCATTATACTTCCGACCTAAAAAGATTGCGTATATATGCGATAAAATGCTTGATCATCGCCTAATTATAAAATTTATTGAAGAAGTTTAGTCGTTTACTCATTGCTTTTATTGCTTTTCAAAGCGAGTCCCTCCAACGCAACGTGCCTTCTTATAGTAGGTCTGGTTTTCTCCGAGAGTTTCCTGCAGATCATTCTTTTTTCGGGGACTAATTAAAACTAAACACTGCAGAATTTATCAAATAAACACTTATTCTATCACGACAAACTCAGCTCCTTTTGCAAGAATCGTTAAAATCAGGGACGTATCGACAATCGTTAGAATTAGGAGTTTTCTATAAGTTTTATGTAGGTAAACAATTCAAACCAAGCAAATGTAAAATCTATTAACTGATGAAGACATTATATCTTATTCCGGAAGTCATATAATTTTTTATGGTTATATGTTACAGTTAGAAACCAGTTTTCGGTACATATTAGTTTTGACGAGTGAAACCCCTTCCGTTAAAACTACTGCATCTTTTCATATTCATGTAAAAAAGTCCTGTGATTCTAATCGCTATTTATACAAAAAAATATTCTGTGTAACTTGAAATACCAAGACAGTTTGCCTTGCACAAAAACTACAGTTTCCAAGTCAAAACTGGTTTTGACTAATGATACTGTTTAATACAAAAAAAATACTTTTAATTAGTGAATTCTAGTATTTCCTAGTCAAAACTAACCTCCACTGAAATAAAAATTAGTTTTAACAGTTTTAACTAGTAAAAACTAGTTTTGATGGAAGGGGTTTGTGAAAACTAGCCAAAACTAGTATTAACTGAAAACGGGTTATATCTGTAACACATAATCCTTGTAGATACTGATTTTTAATTTTAATTCAATTGATGATCATAGAGTTATAAATATTGATCATTTATCATGATAACAATTGCTTTAAACATTGTGTATTGTGAACAATAACGTTTTATATATATACTTTTTGATGTATAGCGGTATTTTTCGTTCGTAATGAAGCATATTTATTAGAAATGTTTTGCGATATATTTATCCTATCAGCATACCTTGAAAATATAACAAAACAATAAAAATTGTACTACCCGCTACTGGTTTTATTATCCTAAAGGAAAACATTTTGCTATACTCCGGTTTCCATTATTTTAAGGTTTTCTGGAAGCCAGTTCTGTACGTACGAGGCAAAAGTAAATATGACCGCCCTCACGTTAGTTATCAAAATATTGATCTTGGAATCGTAACATTTTCACTTGTATTTCCATAATCAATGAACGCTTTGAAAAAAGTTCGGACATTATTAGATGGGTCTGCATTTGAGCGGGGAAGTCCTGGTAGGTACATGATAATAGCTTTTTAGAGATAAACTACAGTTTTGATTACTTTGACGTGTGTCAGGGGTACTTAAACTTTATATATTAGGTGACAGTGAAAGGATGGTGGATTGTAAGGTGAATTGGGGTTGGGTAGACAGGGTAATGTCGCTAATTAAAGCTTCGACCTAGCAACTCTGCTGCGCCCCTGCTTTTATGTCTGCCTCCCCCGGGAACTATTGTTCGCCGACAACCTAAACCAACTGTGTAAGTGAATTAAAATATTTATTATGGAATTCATACGCACACATCTCTGACGAACATCGTCTAATTATTAAGCTAACGTCTTATACTACATTTCTTCGGTAATTAAATTCGATGCTCATTTGTTCATTTTATATGCTGGTAAGTACAACAATTATTACACACTTTTTACGCTTCATATAGCAGCTACTAAACCTTCGCATTTTAGCAATTGTTACAGCTAATTGGAGTAATTGCATTTCTTTCATGTTGAATGGTCCATAAAATTCTCCCACTATTGCTTTTTAACACTTAATGATAATTATTCTTTTTATTTTTTAATCTCCTATGCCAAAAATGGCATACGTTTAACACCTAGTTTGTTTGTGTGTGTGGTCTTTTGTAGTACCATAACTGATTAAATAATCTTTTTATTTTAATCAAGTTTGTTTAATTTGAATGCCTATATTTGCGTGAAGGTTTCAAGAAGATGAGTCACTTTGTATATATCCGAACGAATTTTTAATATGATTGTTTTAATACTTCGAAATTGAAAAATAATGATCAAGCTATAATACCTATTAATTATTTTAGAATAATTTCATTCATTAATTTTTAATTTCATTTTTTAACATATTTTCATCATCGTCATCATAAGGTCGTCAGTCCTAAGACTGGTTGGACACGCACTTCCACTCTTTCCTATCTTGAGCTAATCTTCGCGTTTGCCTAAAACTACAACAACTAACATCCTTAACTATTTGCGAACAATAATCTAATCTAGGTCTACCTGTACCCCTTGTAACTCCCGTTTCTACCTCTAATATGTCTCTGACTAGACCTTCATGCCTGACAAAGTGTCCTATCCTACCAACCTATCTCGCCTATTTCTTATTGACTTCCATAGAGTCCTCTGTTCTCCTATTCTTTCTAATATCTGTTCATTTCTAACTTTCTCTAGTCACGCTATCCTCATTACCACATTTCGAACGCTTCTAACCTTTTCTTTTCCGCCGCGCCCACCGTCCATGTTTCGCACCAGTACAGCGACGAATTCCAAACATACACCTTTAACAATCTTTTTCAAATTTCTAAATTAACCGTTCGCGAGGTGTAAAAGTGACCTCTTTTTATTAAAAGCGACTCGACCCTGCGCTATCCTCTGCTCTATATCCCTACTACTCCTTCCGTCCTGACTTATATGACTTCCTAAAATCCGAAAATTAGCCATTTCTTATTTTTCGTCTCCTATCTTTATATTCGCTCTTTTCCTACTTTTTCTTCCTACCCATATCAGTGAAATTTTAGCAAGATTAATAACTATAAAAAAGACTTCTTTTGTCAAAGCTTCAGTGCAATTGTAGGCAGAATTTCTTTCTTAAAGTGGACACGAAAGCGTTTCTTCTCGATAAATCTTTATTTATTGAACAAAATTTATTACCTTGAAAAGTCTGACCCCCTACCCTTATCGAGAAGAAAATTCTAAACAACGTTCTCATTTAACTTTTATCGGTTAAATTTTTAGAAAAAAAAAGTTTAAAAAAAAGGACCTTAATTTATTAATAAACAAACTTCCATAGACTTGTGAGTTTGCGCACAAATTTATTAATTATGTACGTAATTTTTTACTAATTTACAAGCCAAAATCTGGTTTATTCCAAACTTTTCCAAAAATGGTATTTTTTAGCTGATTCGCCTGGACTATCTGTGATATGATTTGTTTGGCTTTTTGATGTATATTTTGCGAATTTAAATGCTGCGGATTTTTTCGGGATAAACGTGTGTATATACATATAAATGTGAAAATGGACGATGGTCTAACGCAGGAACTGCAGTATTGGTTACTCAATGCGGTGTAATGTGCACATCTGACGCTTGTCCCACAAATCAATAGAAAGCCGTTGTATACTGGACAGTCCCTAACAGCCCTGCCATGCCGCATCCCTTTGTTTTAGTCCCTTTAATACAATAACCGCTGATAAAATCGCTTTATCGTAGTTTTTACACGCGTCAAGAATGGCACTCTTACTCACTGTTAAATTAAACACCAAGAAGATATCTTTCTTTTTTTAATATTTTTTCAATAAAAATTCCTTTTTTTTTTTTATTAATCAAATTGCTTATCTGGGTAAAAATGACTTATTACCTTATCATTTTCGAAGCATCAATATTTATTTGTAATTTATTTCTAGATAAAGACGTAAAAACAGTCAACGAATTTAGCAAAAATGTTTAACGACTGCATAGATATTCGGTATTGTGCGAAGAAGCAGTAGCTGAAACTGCGTAAATTACATATTCAATGCCATTATCTTTCTCAGTTGGTTAATAACAACAATACATTGTTAAAACAATTACCTTGTGATATTTGCAGAGTGTGACTTAATAGGCAGAACAACTTCAATCAATTCAAAAATAAGAATAACCGTATCAATCATGATAAAAAGACTTCAACAAGAACAATATGAATAATTAGGCGATATTGTTCACTGTTTCTGCTCTCTTCACTACATGCATAAGTACGTACAACTGCTGGTGTTGGTATAGCAAAGTATAATTTATAATTGCAATTAAATTCCTATCGACAATGACATGGCGATTAATTTTATTAATTTTCTGTTTATTTTTTTCAATTGAATGTTCTCAATATTGTCAGAAACAATATCAGTGTGGCAATGATATTCACACAATGTGTAAAAGAGGGGTAAGCCGAAGATATTTTTTAAGCATTGTTAGGTAACGAAGTCATATCCGTAGCAATGTGGGCCAAGCAGTGCTTGTGGGGAGAATTTTGTGGCCCTAGGGATGAATAAACAGACTAGAAAATTTGTTTTAGAACTTCATAACGGAATAAGAAATAGAATAGCTCTAGGAAAAATAAAAGAAGGTAACAATGGTGAAGCCGCAAATATGCACGAACTTGTAAGTTAATTTATTTAATTAATCAATATTCCTCATTAAATAGAGATTTTCGATACCAAGTGTTATTTCTTAGGTATACGATAATGAACTGGAAAAAATAGCTCAGTGTTGGGCAAATTATTGCGAGAAAGATGGTTTCCGTCATCCTCACGATTCTTGTAGAAAAACTAAACAATTCAATTATGTAGGACAAAATCTATATTTAATAAAGATGCATTTCGGGAATTTTACTAGTACACGTTTCATCGAACAGTCCATCAACGGCTGGTACAGCGAAATAAAGTACATGGACAAAACCATCATAGACCGATTTCATGGCAGCGAACGTGGCAATGTTGGACATTTTACTCAAATGATTTGGGCTGAAACAACTCACATAGGTTGCGGCAGAACTCAATACGGAAAAGGAAAAAATTTTTATTTTCTTTTTATCTGTAACTACGGAATAGGTGGAAATGTAGCGGGGGATGCTGTTTATACAAGAGGAAAACCATGCAGTCAATGTGGAAAAATAGGTTGCAGTAGCAGATATAAAGGACTCTGTGCAACCAAAGGCAAGAGGCAACGAACTCAAAATAATTATTGTTTTAATGTATTGTTTTTTTTAGATTTGAGTATTATAGGCAGTAGAACGGTGATAAAAAGTGTTTGGGTTAACTTGATAGTGTTGATTGCAATTATTTGTAATTACCTGAAGGCCTTTTTGAAATACGTTCTAAATAAATTGTGAGCAACAAAACAGGGTGTCACAACGTATTTTAACTAATCTAAATGGATCAGACTGATTTTGTGAACAAATTAAAATATAATTTTAATAAACAGTTTAACAAATGAAAACTGCAATTTTTCATACATTTATTTATTTACAATAGAAAAATATTAATAAATAGCACAATGACAAACAAATCAAAACTTGCATTTTTTTTAACACAGCGCTCTTCAACAAATAAAAATGCCCTTAGATAAATAACAGTAAATACGTACAGTTACAGAAAAATTATACGTATAGAAGTCATACAGCATACAAACATATAAAAACATTCGCTCCTAGAATACAGTACACAATAAATTAAATGGTATAAGTTAAGTCTCTACACCTAAGTTTCATTTCTATTGTAAGCTCTTACCTCCGATAGTGGAGTTTGACGAACCGATATTACCATAACTAATGTCAGCATTTCGCGTTTTGTACGAGACGTAACTTTCATATTGGTTTTTGTTTTCAAATGAGTAAGCTTCATTACTTTTGTTTTGTTTTGCGGGAGAATTGTTATTATCTTTACTCACATCGTTGTGCATTTCTGCATTGTTTCGAAAATAAAAGGCGATCTCATTATTGTCTAAAAACTGTAAAGGAGCTACAGGAGTTGTGACAGGTTGGTTTACACTGCTACCGGACGTATTGTTAGACGCTGGTGCTTCTAACACCACCTGAGTGTTCACAGAACCTTGAGAGTCAGAATCCTTGAAATGAGATAACTTTCCTTCTTCCAGAAATTTATGCTTATTATTTATTTCATTTTTCCTTAAATATGAGATGGTTTGCTGTGGATAAGTCTGCTGTATAGCCCCGATTCCGCTATACTGTGGTTGTTCAATAGCATTCAAGATTGATTGCAAAATGCCTTCATTTAGAATTTGGTCAGGAGGAAGTGACTTCAAAGATCCTGAACCATCACTCGATTGTATGGAGAGGGTGTAAGTTCCGCGAGACCCTTTTAACGGGATATTATTGAGATCAATATCCCTTGATTTAATAAGTTCAGAGTTGGGATGAAGACTTTTCGCTATAGATACTGCATGGGCATCTTCATCTGTTTCTTTTGATCCTAATGAACTTTTTCCTGCCACTTCATTATTTGGATCTACGGAAACGCTCTTACTTTTTTGAGATAGAGCCACCTCCAAGTCTGCGGCAGTTTCTTCGTTACCACTGTAACCTGATCCACTTGAAAGGGGCACTTCCAAATTGATCTGTGCTTCAGTGTCGCAGTTTTCATCAGAACCAATATGAGCGCCATTACTGTTATGCGATATTGGTATATGTCCCGGTACAGAAGATGTTAAGTCATAAGAAACAGGTATGTTGCTGTAACTAGATGTTAATTCGCTGTATTGTGGAGTACCATAAGAATCACTTATCGTAGCAGGTGGTAGGTAACCTCCTCCTCCTGCTCCACTACTTTCAAATGGGATGGGTTTATTTTCTAAAGGCGGATTATAAAAGGATGAAGGTACTCCATGGTATTTTTGGTCAGCTACTGGAGGTGAGAGGTATTGTTGATTTCCTTGTGAGTGATAACCGTCGTTGAATCCAACGTTTTTCCCAATTGTTTGAATTAGACCCAAAGGTACTTGTGTTTTTTGAGAATTTAATAATGGTATACCATAATGACCAGCAGGAGGTGCGCCATAAACTCCACTGGGAGGTATCAAACCTCCCGAAGAGCCAGGCAGTGGAAGTTGAACATTTAGCAAATTTCCAAACTGTGACAGGTCATAATCTATACTTTTAATAACCGATAAAGATTCTCGTCCACTTTGAATCCCTAATGATGACAACCCAAGCGAAAGTGTTATGTCGTCTCCTGGTTCAGGTTTCAGAGCTAATCCAGAGCTGCTGACCACTCCTCCTGAACCAGTAACTGAATTTAATGGAGCCGAATAAGAATCTCTGAAACCTTGCCCGTTATGTTTATGATCTTCTACTTCTAACGGAGGTGGAACGAAATCGCTGTTGATGTTCAAATCAAGGGAACTATGTTTAGGGACGTTCGGAGCACCATAAGCACTAGGAGGCTTAGAAACCAAACCTGGAATTGGCTGCCAACCGTCATACTTGATATCGGGAGGTGTTGGTGGAGCAGGAATTCCAGGGGGTCCCAAGGGCAGTTGTGGAGGCAGTTGCTTAGGAGTATGCAATGGCAAATGAACATTTTTTACCGGAACTCCATAAGAATCTTTAGGTGATTCGAAAGAGCCCTTTCCTGGGGGGGTAATACCTATCGGTACACCGATATAGGTAGCCGGAGGACCATAAGTGTTTAAGGGTCCGGTTGGAGGTCCGTATAACGGCTTAGGGATTTTAGAATATTTTGGAGGCACCCCATAAACTGGTTTAGGAACTTTATAAGTACTTATTAACGGCTTCTGGGGAAATGGGCGTGCCGGAAATGGGGCGCCATACAATGGCGTCGGAGCCTTCAGGAACACGTTAACGGGCTTCGATGGCGGTGGTCCGTAATTTTTCTGGGGTAAGGAAAGAAAAACTTGACGAACTGGAGGCCCATAATGTTGATATATTGGTGGTGGAAGTTTATTAAAATTTGGAATTGGAGGACCATAACTACCAGATGGTGGAGCTCTATACGAAGTCGGAACGATGGATGGAGACGGAGGTATGTCTGGAGGAGGTCCTGGATATTTAACAGCAGATGGTACTCCATAAACGGGTACTGGTAGATTTGGCTTGTTATTAGGAAGTACAAGATAAGTCTCCTCAATCAGTTGAGGGCCGGAATGGTCGGCAGCTTCTCTTCTATTGCCATTTTGTTCCGTACTTGCTGATACAGAGTCCGCAATTTTATTTATAGCCGCGGTCTTTGTATTGTCCGTAGCATCGTCAGTCGCTTTTGATGTGCTGCTATTGATAACTGCGATGGCGCATTGTAAAACTGTCGCAAGAAACAGTACGTGCACCACCTACACAAATAAAATTTACCTGTTAATTGATAATGGTAGTACCAAGTTTTAATTAACTAAAATTTAAAATAATGGGATGAGAAATTAATTAGATGAATTACGTAGTTTAACGTAATCATGGGAATTTTCTTTCAGTACACGTTATCCTGCAATTTTCGCCAATATAACAACAATAATGTTCGCATAAAAGTGAAAGGCGGTGCAAGTTTCTCCTCATCGGGCAACCACAAATTAATGAAAATCGTGTTTGTAGGACAAGAATATGATCGAAATTCGTTATTCGCGTCTTTCTTATAAATAATGCATGTTTACGGTTTAACAGTATGAGAAATCAAATTTGAATAGGTACTCGAATACTGTCGATGACAAAAAACTAGAAGAAATAGATCAATTGAAAACTGAAGTAAAATAATCATATCTGCCGAATGGAGATGCTACGCATTAACTGAAAATTTTGTTAGAATTTTAACAATACATGAAAATACAACATTACGTATCGATTGTAATTTCAAATTCATATTAGAGTTGCTAAACAGAGGGCCTGGATTATAAACATATTCCTCTGGTTAGACACATTACATATTCATACGATTCAAAAATCGATTTGGAATTGTAATGGCAGATTTAAAAAAATAGAAGAAGAATTTGACAGAATAGAGGTACGTATTAAAAAAAAACAATCACGTTCACTTTTAAATCAAAAGTTACTAAAACTGAAAAATATTGTACATTATAGGCAAAGACGTAAGTAACTAATTTAGTAAAGTAAGTATTTCTTTTCTGTTGTATATATATGTATATATTGCGTACATTCATGGACATTTATACACCATTGTTTTGGAAATCCACGGCTATTAATCTTCACTTAAATTACCATCCTCACCTGTCTTATCATGTTGTCCTTCGATAATAAAATAGCACACACACACGCACGAAGACACAATGCAGTGATAAAAGTTACAGTACACTAAAATTTCACGAAAAACACCACAACTTCCATCGACGAACAGTAATTTCTAAAAGCATTTCAAAAAATAATCGGTTTCTTTTAGAAATCAGTGTTTTATCTACATCTTCTTCGAGAGATACCGAAGATGATCCCCACTTTAGTAAGTACTATGTTGGAATAAGGAAAGTAGGGATACTGAACTTGGCAATGCAAGTGGTTTACCGGAGAAAGTAGGCTTGAAGATGTACCTGTAGCTATACCGGCGACAAGTGCTTAGTCATGGGCACATTTCCTGTTTATTGAAAAAATTAATTTACAAATAATAATTAAGTAGATATTCAGTAAATTCAACGGTGAGAAAAATTGAAATGAAAGATTGAGCAAGTTGCACTTACAATTAAAAAGAAAGAATTTATAAAGATTATTTGTTCAATTCACGAATTCTGTTTTACGCAGGAAAAATGCTTTTTTTTCATTAAGTAGGTCTTTGGTATGATAAAATATGCAGTGTTTAATAAAATATTAGGAAATTAAAATGAAAAAAGTTATAAAATGTTTTACAAGTGCCCGACTAAAGAATGAACAGAAATTAATAAGAAAATTTCATCTGTTTCTTTNTCTCCTTCTAATATGTCTCTGGCTAGACCTTCAAGTCTGAGAAGGTGTCCTACCAACCTATCTTGCCTATTCCTTATTGACTTCCATAAAGTCCTCTGTTCTCTTATTGACGCACCTCCAGTCTTTCCTATCCTGAGCTAATCTTCGTATTTCCCTAAAACTAGAACATCTTAATTTTAATAAATAAAGTTTCTAAACGGTTCACATCTAATAAAAAAACTTTCACATTCTACTACACCTTATAGTGTAATGATTTGTAGAAAATGGATTTCTTCTTTAGACAAATTTAAATTCTGAATGAACTTCATAGCCGGTAAACAATTTCCTCAAATGTCATGCGATAGTGAAAGGATAAGTCACCATGACTCTAAGCAAAGAAATTTGACCGACTTCCCATACCAGACGTATACATACGCTATGATTAGCATGTACCAATTTGACATTGATGAGTTCAACAGAAATAATTTGGCGAAGATTGTTTATTGTTAGTTCGCAGTCAATGTGAGCATTATTTTAATCTGTTTATCTTAAACGAAACCGAAACTAATTAAAATACAAGTGAGGCTCAAAGCCTGTTTATATTTTAAAAACAAATAAATAAATTCAATTTTTGACTTTTCCTCCGTTCTCTTATTCACATATCTCCAGTCTTTCCTATCCTGAGCTAATCTTTGCATTTCCCTAAAACTAGAACATCCCACATCCTAAACTATTTGTGAAAAGTAATCTAATCAAGGTCTACATCTACTCATCTTAACTTCTGTTTCTCCTTCTAATATGTCTCTGGCTAGACCTTCAAGTCTGAGAAGGTGTCCTACCAACCTATCTTGCCTATTCCTTATTGACTTCCATAAAGTCCTCTATTCTCTTATTGACGCACCTCCAGTCTTTCCTATCCTGAGCTAATCTTCGCATTTCCCTAAAACTAGAACATCCCACATCCTAAACTATTTGTGAAAAGTAATCTAGGTCTACATCTACTCTTTTTAATTTCTGTTTCTACTTCTAATATGTCTGACTAGCCCTTCATGCCCGAGAAGGTGTCCTACCAGCCTATCTCGCCCATTTCTTGTTGACTTTCATAGAGTCCTCTGTTCTCCTATTCTTTCTAATACCTCTTCATTTCTAACCTTTCTATCCACGATATCCTCATCATTCGCCTATAACACCACATCATAATCTTCTAATCTTTTCTTTTCCGCCGCGCCCACCATCCATGTTTCGCACCCGTACAGCACCGGGCTCCAGACATACCTACACCTTTAACAATCTTTTTCGAATTTCTAAATTTCTTTTTGTTGAAGGCGACTCCAACCTGCGCTATCCTCTGTATTATATGTCTGCTGCATATTTCACCAAAAAGTTCTTTGTGGATCCTTTTCTTAATTTAGAAACAGTTAGAAATAGATAACTGTAACCTTACAATAAGTTATTATTTAAAATTGTACGCAACACAGCAATGGCTTAACTAAAACGTAATACGGTAGAGTAATTTATATGAGCAATTAATAATCAGAAATCCGTTACGCCGTATAAAACGAAAATTTAGACAATATACGGCAATATCCGATTTTATTATCCCATCAAACTAATGTGTGAATAAACCTGATGAAAGTAAAAATTCCGATACAGGTCTTAAAAATTTCTCTTGTTGCTTCATTTGTTAACTTTCTCTGAAAAATCGTCGGTTATTTTATTTTTTATTGTTTTGTGACCATTTTACAAAAACACAAAAAGACGTTTATTCAAAAATTTGCAAAAACGTCAGGTATGTCGCATTAGTAATACCTGACTAATGGAAATAGTAACATAAGCAAAAGTGATAAAATATTATGATAGCTAGTTCGAATTATTATACTGTTGGATCCTGTTTGTTCATTGACGTTTAAGGTCATCTGGCAGCAGATTCTTCATTACAAAATCTTTTTAACTTCAACCTTGAAGAGAAAAGTCGGAATATCCGGCGCAAATAAACAACAAGAGAAAGCAGGTCTCCAGACGGGTGTAGTGAACTTATACGACAGTTTTTAACTCGAAAACGTATGCTTATACTGTTGGACATTCCTATAATGCACTAATCGAGCAGAACACCTGCCATTTAAATAAATTTAACGCTCATACACAATTAGAAGCCATTAAAATAAGGAAAAAACAAAACTACATTACTTTACTATTTACCTACTAACGTAAGGCACCTACTTATAGAAATTGGTTTCATGAGAATAGGAGCTCCACAAGTCTACGTTGCATATGTTAGATACAAATCATTCAATTATCTTGCTCACAACTAACAGTTGTTTAATTCAGTTTTATATTGTTTGAATTATTAATTCTACATTATTATTATTATTATTATTATTATATCTATTTAGCTGTAATTATTACACTTTTCTCCGCTTTTACCATAAAACATATTAATTTTCCTTTCAAAGAATTCGCTTCTACTTTAGGTATTCCTGTTATTAATAAGCCCACACCAGTGGCATAGCATTAATTTCTACCACCCGGGGTGATCCCTAAATTTCGATATACTTTTCTACTATTGTTACTATTTAAGGTTCTAGAATCTCATAGAAGTTCTATGACGTGCAGTTTTTTAGACTACAACGAGCTTTAATGTTAATCGTTTATTAGGGTTGTGCATTTTGCATTGGCTACAGAAAAATGCCGTTGTTGCTATTAAATTCAAAACGGTTGCTTTCCACAGTTTTTTAACGAAACAAAATCTTTATTTTCCGCATCAAGAAGGTAGTGGCTTGGTACATGGGACAAATTAATATAAAATAGTACAAATAGTAACCGTTCAAAACCAAAACATATGATTTTTAATTCGGCTGATTGTATCAAAGTATATCAATAGAAATTTCAATTAAAGAGACAGTTCATAATATAAATTGAATCTCGAGTTAGAGAAATGGACAAATTTCAGTTCCTCTTCGAGAATCTGATCACATCTTACATTTTCAATTTAAGTTAATGATAAACGCTATTTATCTCCTCAAAGGCTAAATTAAAAGTATAAGTTTTTGTTTTTAGGCTTGTAGGTATCTATTGTGAAAATTCGAAATACTGTAATCCCTCTTGGATACGTCACCCACACTTTTATTACAATAATTTTACTGTTGTTATTCGATATCAAGAATTAAATAATTAGATATTTTTTATAATTTAAAAAATGGCGAAGTTGATATGGTAGGTACGTTACCGAATACACTGTTCCATTTATAATTTCCTTGGGGTTAATTAATTGAAATTCCGCCGTATTCATTAAATTTTAAATACTAAAAACATATGTGTTTATGCATACATACATATATTTTCAGCAAGGATTACAGATACTTATTTAAGGATGTGTAAGCATAGTGAAATTTACGGGCCGTATTAAGTTTAGTTAGGGCGTAAGTAAACAGAGGCGACAAGTAAAGCCCTTTATTTGCTTACTGAAGCTACCTTATTCTGCGAGTTTGTAGAGATACAGAAAATGCAGCAGGGGAAAACTTGCAGATTCTTTTTAAAACGAAAACATCTCATTATCAATATATCAAAATAAAATTGTTAATAATATCTATTTATATTATTCAATTGAATTTATTGTCTATTAAATAACACATTTCTAATCAATCACATAATTATTTACTCATTTCTATAAAAAATATATTGCTGATTAAAATTAATGAGAAGAGTAAGCTATAGTTCTAGTATATATGATTCCTAACGTGTAAAATTGGTTGAAAAGTAAAAAAATAAAAGTTAGGACCCATTTATCTATTTGTACATAATTATTATG